GAGGAGAGGGGAGGGGGAGGGGAGGGGAGGGACGGGGAGGGGAGGGTGAGGAGGAGGAGGGAGGGGAGGAGGAGGAGAGGGGAGGAGGTGAAAGAGAGGAGGAGGTGAGAGGAGAGAGAGGGGAGGATTATGAGGAGGGAGGCGGAGGAGGTTGGAGTAGGAGGGCGGAGGAGGAGGAGGTGAGGAGTAGGGGGGAAGGCGGAGGAGGACGTAGGAGAGGAGGAGGAGGAGGAGGAGGAGGAGAGGGGGAGGAGGAGGAGGAGGAGGGGGGGAGGGATGAGGATTGGAGGAGGGAGACGGGCGACCCCGACAGGCCGCAGCTGCAGCGGTGGCTCTCGCAGCCCCCTTCCGCGGCAGCGCCGCTCTGAGGCCCAGGGGGCCGGGAGGATGAGGGAGAAGGAGGAGGAGGAGGAGGAAGAACAGGAGGAGGAGATGGAGGAGGAGGAGGAGGAGGAAGAGGAGGAAGAGGAGTAGCAGGAGGAGGAGGAGGAGGAGGAGGAGGAGGAGGAGGAGGAGGAGAAGGAGGAGGAGGAGGAGGAGGATGGGGAGGAGGAGGAAGAGGAGGAGGAGGAGGAGGAGGAGGAGGCGGAGGCGGAGGCGGCGGCGGCGGAGGAGGAGGAGGAGGAGGAGGAGGAGGAGGAGGGGGAGGGGGAGGGGAGTGGGAGGGATAAGGGGGAGGGGAATGATGATAATGCTGATCATGCTGATGATGATGACGATGATGGCGATGCTGCTGCTGCTGCATGATGATGATGCTGATGATGATGGTGATGATGATGATGGTGATGGTGATGACGATAATGATGACGATGGCGATGATGATGCTGATGATGCTGCTGGTGCTGATGATGATGCTGATGTTGATGCTGATGCTGATGCTGATGCTGATCATGCTGATGATGATGAGGATGACGATGTTGCTGCTGCTGCTGCTGCTGATGATGATGATGATGATGATCATGATGATGATGCTGATATGGATGATGATGCTGATGCTGCTGATGATGATGATGCTGATGATGTTGATGATGATGGCGATGCTGATGCTAAATATGTTGAAGATGCTGATTATTATGATGATTATGTTGATCATGCCGATGCTGATGATGGTGAGGCTGAAGCTGATGCTGCTGATGCTGATGCTGATGTGGATGATGCTGATGATGTTGATACTGATGATGACGATGATGATGCTGATGCTGATGCTGATGCTGATGTTGATGATGATGCTGCTGCTGATGTTGATGCTGCTGATGATGATGATGCTGCTGCTGACGATGATGAGGACACTGATGGTGATGGTGATGATGCTGGCGATGCTGATGCTGCTGATGATGCTGATGCTGACGATGATGATCCGGCTAATGCGGATGATGATGATGATGATGACGATGATGATGATGATGCTGATGCTGATGATGATGATGATGATGATGCTCAGGAATATGTTGGTGATGATGATGATGCTGATGGTGATGATATTGATGATGACGATTATGCTGATGATGATGATGCTGGTGATGATGATGATACGATGATGATGATGATGATGATGATGATGATGATGATGATGATGATGATGATGGTGATGATGCTGATGATGATGATGCCACTGAGGATGCTGATGCTGCTGATGATGATGCTGATGATGCTGATGATGATGATGATGATGATGGTGGTGATGATGCTGCTGATGATGCTGATGAATATGATGATGCTGCTGCTGCTGCTGATTGATGATGATGTATGATGATGATGATGAGGAGATGATGAGGAGGAGGAGGAGGAGGAGGAGGAGGAGGAGGAGGAGGAGGAGGAGGAGGAGGAGGAAGAGGAGGAGGGAGAGGAGGAGGAGGCGGAGGAGGGGGAGTGAGGAGGAGGAGGAGGAGAGGGACAGAGGAGGAGGGAGGGAGGGAGGAGTGAGAGGAAAACGGAAGAGGGAGAGGGAGGTGGAGGCGAGGAGGAGGAGGAGGAGGAGGAGGAGGAGGGAGGAGAGGAGGAGGAGAGGGAGGAGGAGAGGAGGAAGGAGGAGGGGGAGGGAGGAGGAGGAGGAGGAGGAGGAGGAGGAGAGGAGGAGGAGGAGAGGAGGAGGAGGAGGAGGTGGGGCGGAGGCGGAGGCGGAGGCGGAGGCGGAGGCGGAGGAGGAGGAGGAGGAGGAGGAGGAGGAGGAGGAGGGAGGAGGGAGGAGGAGGAGGAAGAGGAAGAGGAAGAGGGAGAGGAAGAAGAGGAAGAAGAAGAAGAAGAAGAAGAAGAAGACGAATAAGAAGAATAATAAAAAGAAGAAGAAGAATAAGAAGAATACTAAGAAGAAGAATATGAAGAGGAAGACGAAGAAGAAGAAGAAGAATACGAAGAAGAAGAAGCAGACTAATAAGAAGAATAATAATAATAATAATAAGAAGAAGAAAAAGAAAAAGACGAAGAAGATGAGGAGGAGGAGGAGGAGGAGGAG